CGAACTCATCATCAGTCGACCATTGACATTTTGGTCCCTTTTTAGCAAGCTCCCAATTTGAGGCTGGCGAGCAACGGCTGGAACAACTGATTCACTGATGAACACGAAGAGCCGGTCGTTGGAGCCTGACAGTCGCTGGCAAACGGCAAACTTGAACTGCAGCATTGCCATTTCGAGATTCGTCAGTCAAGGTAGCAACTCTTGGGATAAAGAACTCTTCACCTGGAGGGTATTACCAACCAATTTGTGAGCAACCGCCAAAATGAGTGTGAACTATGTTTAAAAGGAGATGTATTTTTTAGCTTGCCCTGAGTCAAAAACTTGCGGGTAACGTATAGATCAGTCGGTTTGGAGGCAGAGTGAAATGACCCAAACTCTTATCCGCCTTTTCAGTAGGTCTTGGGTTATAGTAAGGCAGACAATAGAACCAACACACAAGTTTTGTTTGGTGATCCATTCAGGTATGCCTTAGTTGGTGCTTTGGATTTGAACCCCTGGCTTTTGTAGAGGGTGAATGGGAAACCCCTCCATTTACCAACCCCCAATCCAAACAAAGTGGGAAGCTGAATTCTACGGATGTGGCTGTGGGTCAAAAATATGTACCCAAAATGAAACACTGGTAAATGGAAACTGGACTCCCTGCGGTTTTCTGGTGGTTTCATTTTTTGACCCATACCCATGTGACGTGCCTCTCCAGGTCTTCAAGTCCGATGTCTTGGACTTACCTGAGTAGCGATCAGAGGTCGCCTGAGACGCGTGAGTAGCGAGAGCCCAAGCTTCGGATTTGGAAGAAGCCGTTACCCAAATCGACGGAAATCAGTGGGTTTCCCGTTTTGAAGGCCAAGGGACACCGACAGAATACCAACCCAGACGAAGTTCATAGACATGATCCATTTGTAAGAAAGAAAAAGTCGTGTCTTAAAATAGGGGACCCAAGCAAATTGGGGTGGTCCTTTTGGTTCCGTTTCAAAATCACTCCAAAAGGGGTACCCTCAAACAATGACGCCCATATTCACATACATCAAAAGGAGGACTTTTGTTCTTCTTGAGAGGTCGTCCTAAAGTTGGAGATCTGTTGTTGCTTAAACAGCCAACCCAACCAGTTTTGATGCAGAAAAACCCTTGGTATCCTTTGAGGGTGGTTCTTTGTGGGTTAAAAGGGCTTGGACCAGAGGGCAAGGAGCGTTGGAGTCTATGTGTTCCCTATTTGCAGAGGACCATCGATTCGGTATAGGAGCAAGCCTGTTGCAAATGTGCGTTGGTATCTTCTGAGGCACGTGGAGGCCCTAAAGAGGGTCAAACGACGTACCAAAGTGACCTGTAGACACACCAAAACGGGTTCTCAAAAGAAAGGCCAACCATTTTTATGTGTCTATCCTAGCTTGGGCAATCCGACTGGCGATGTGTTTCCCAAGCACGGCACGGCTGCAGTCAACCGAGCAGCGCGCAATCGCCAAGTGGTATGACAGATCCGCTCCTCGCTGTGGAATGGAAATGGAGAGGGGCCTAAATTCCGGTTCCGAAAAGGTGAATTTTGAGGACCTCCAGGGGAGCAAACGGCGAGGAGCACAATGGGAGATTTTTAGCGGATTCATCACCAGGGCACGTGTCTGGTTGCTTGGGTGCCTTGTTCAGATTGGAGGATGTGGCTCTCGGCTCCTAGCCAAACGACTTAGACTTGTTGAGTTTCGAGGGATTCATGACATGCCCCACCACCCCACTAAAAGTGTAACTTTAAGCAACGGTTCAACATGTTGTTCATATAATGCCCCAGTATTGTTGCGGTAAGGACCTTTGTCAAATGGGACAAAATACTGGACAGATCTTGTGTCCTAGGCCCAAAGTTCAGTCCTCTCTTAATGGACAGTGCGATAGCTAGAACAAGATGAATCACAATGTTTAAGACAATCATCCTTCCGCAAAAGCCTCATATCCACTGGAAGGTTTTGTTGTTATTCCCATGCAGAACGATCCTGAGCTTGTATTTGACTGTGCCGTGCCGTGCTTTTGCCTTCGGCATTGCCGGTCCCTGGTTCCAACGACAGAGGTCATGGCTTGTAGCGACATTAAACATCTTCGCTGCGTCCGATGCCTGAGGGTCTTGAACAATTATGTCATGGACCTCCCAGGGCGGCCATAGGCTATAGGGGGAACTCTACGACGTTATCAACAGGTAAATATGAACAGGTCATAGCTCCCCTTTAAGCCCCCCTCGGAGGTCCCTGACATATGGCTTGCTTCTTTCGGTGTTCGGGTGCCTTACATCAAAGTCAGGAACGTGCTGCTCGAGTGCGTGCCCAAGTGGCCCAAGTGTGCAACGCGTGTTGTATTGCCCAAATAAAGACTTGAAACTGGCGAATCGAAATGGAGCTAAGCATTAACACTGCCTAGTTCCGCATGTACCATAGGGGAACTTATGCTCACTCCTGTCAGTATGCATCACCACATCATAGTATAGTCCAGGGCTGGCATGGGTATGTTTCAAAAACGCGGTACGTCAAATTCGCGGCTTACCATGAAACCAAGCGATTCCTGTTCGACAATTGCCTTGCTATGGTTAATGAGATGTTGGAACACTAGAACACCAAGTCAAACATGTATTCCTTTAAGCCTACCAAATCTTGAACGAGATCTTGGGTCTAAACACCCTCCAGTAAGGACCACAACATTTCGCCGTTCACTTGGCCAGCGCCGAGTGGATGTTGCTGACGAAAGCAGAATACCTGCAGAATATTTGGGGATATTACGGCAGAACCCGGTGATTGGGGCCAAACGATGAATTAACGACCCTAGCTGAGGTGCTGTGACATCGTGAAGCCGCTTTACTTTTGGGAAGAGTCTCGGAACCTGTCTAAGCAATCAACCTCTTAAGAAGACTTTTAGACACTCGTTGTAAGGGTTCCTATTCAACAAGCCACGACAATTGTTTACTATGGCGCACCTGTTGCATGTTTGTAGACAGGCAGACATGAGTAACATAGGAATCTCTCAGGAATTCCCTTTGAAGCGTCCTTATTCAGCAAAGCAAAAGGGACGCTCTGACAGTGTAATATATAGCGGCCTAAATAGCTAGAAGGGAGTTGGGGAGTCCCTTTAGTCTCACCCTGGGGTCTGACGCCACTGGAATTCAACAGTGCTGGTGATTGCACACATCCTACAGTTCTCTGTATTTGTTTTACTATCACAAGCAAAACACGGACAGCATGAATCCGGAGAATCATCAAATAATGGCCTCTGAGCAAGTTTTGGGATGTAACCGTATTTGAGGTGGAAACCACTCAAACATGTTGACTCTTTTCCGGGATCCATACGTCTTGTGAAGCTTCTGATTCTGGTGCACCGCGTGACGAAAGGATGTCGGAGTTGTTAGTTCGGGAGGCTGCGGGGAGCCCTTGCCTACGTCACATGTATCTTCTCTCTTTGTCTTGCAGCTGCCAGAACCAGGCGTCCCCCAACATTTACTGCTGCGAATCGGAGACGGGACACCACACTTACCAAGTGACAACTAGATGGGCGTCGCGCACCAAATCTTGATGTCAGTTGGGGGGAGACAACCAACATTGACCATGGCATGTGTGGGTATGTCTGTACAGGTACACCCTTTTTGACCTCGTTTGAAAGGGAACCAGCGCACTCATTTTGGAGACACATTTTGTGACTATTCAAGTTTTTGCATGTATCGGCTTGGCTCCAGTGTGTGCTAATTCACCCAGGGGCAGGTGTCAAGACGGCACCGCACGCCAAAGGCGTGACCCTGTTTAGAGGATTGAGCCGGTGGGGGCTTGCACCTAGCTCACTTCGGTCTAGGAGAAGAGAAGCAATTAGCGTTAGTGGAAACATCAACCTGAATTTTAGCATCAGAAATATGGATTCCATGAATATAGCGCAAGGATTCGAGCAAGCTATAATATATGTAATCTAGTTTTGTCAGGGATCTTCATAAGTTTCTGTTGTGGAGCAATTGACAACGGATTACAAGGATATCATTTAGTACAATGGTCTGCAGTGAATGCCAGGATTGGACCCTGCCAAAATCGCCGCTAGACGGATCGTAGACTTGTCGGCTCCTGGATTCCTTTCGCTCTTGATGGAGGCAGGTGCAGTCAAAGGGCCTATCAGTCGGATGTGGGGCAATATTTGCAGCATCTTACAGAAAGTACAGTTGTGTCTTAGACTAGAATGAGGGTGGCATGTTTAGTACTTTTGGCTTGTTGAACAGGGCAGGCAGCCGAATTCTCCTGTGAAAACAAGGAGGCCCACCGCGGGGAACAAACATGATGGCAAATGGGACTGGTCTGCTTTGCTCTCATTTCCCCAAAACAGTGAACAGAGAGGGACCAGATCCGGGTGGTTCCTGGAGCTGTGGCATGGCATGTCAAACTTTGAGTCGTTGGCTTCCGGATTCAAACCGCAGGTCCTAAGTCCAGTTCACATTTTGGGTTTCACGACGACCTGATTGAAACCCGGCGTCAACACAGACAGTTGATTTCCCCAAACTTTCGGCATCTTTCTTCCTTTTGGATGATGAGCTCACCTGGAAACGAGAACTCACCTATGACGTAGGTCCTCTACTTGGGGATCTCTTATTTTGGGCTTTGCAGGCCCTCGGGAAGAGCAAAAGGAGACCTGGGGACGGTTCAATGCTTTGGGTTTCAGATCTCCCGACCCGTTTGAAGCCCCGAAACCTTGGCCCAAAGATCAACCCGGCGGCAGGGAATCATCCGTTGATGCGGGGGCAAGGCCAACCCGGACTCGATTTGCTGATTCCCCTACCTCAACGTAAACCACAAGGCGGAGATTTGTTCCTTTCGATTTGTCCCAAGATGTCCCCCGGTCTGAATACCCTTAACTTGGAGCGAGAAGGGATGGTCATGGACCTCTTGTCTGGTTTCAGCCAAGCAATGTACATTTTCTTGCTAGGGAGCCAGGCCCACCCCAGATTTGGCTGAGTGGCCATGGCACATGTGGGTTTGCCATCCCGGCTTCCTGTTCAGCCAGGCATGCCAGTTGCACAGAGCGACCTGCTGGCCACTGGGGTTCAGGGCGGAGTGTGGGATCTTGGGCCAAGTCCGAGCTGACCTGGGCGTCTCCTCCCAGATGAGTTGCTTAGGTAGTTCATTCTTCGGGGGAAATCGAAATACGGATGTGTCTTGTTTTGAGGGTACCCCCATGTACCCCCTGTTTTGTGCGTTCAAAGGGAAACCAAACGGAAAGCCAAAGCCCGTTTTGGGGGTCCGATTCCTAAAAAGACACCTATATGCAGGGAACTATCAACAGTTGTTGTTTTTTGTTTGTTTTCAAACCCTGGTGTGGGAGAAAGTCGAATCAGGGCGCAGGCAAGAATCCATGAAGTCTCCTTACGGGGATTCCTTACTTTAAGCTTGTGATTCATGGAACACGTGCCCAGATCGATTGCGCGACCTGAACAACTATATGGAAGCTGACGGAGGGTTATGGTTGGAGCCTTTCGGGGAGTTTTTGCACGCTTCATGCTTGCTTTTGTGAGGGTAGGGCTGGCAAATGATTAGAACCCAACGACCAATCAATGCAATCCCTCCAGGTGCAACCAAACCGAAAGGGGCAAAACGAGATCATGACGAAAGTCCGCTAGGGATTGGGTTGGTGAATGATCACATCTATGGACTCATTCAGGGGCGGGGCCTAAAGGCTGCTTTGCAGATTTGTTCCAATCTTCAGATTTGCATTCTTTCATCGAGTTGAATTGAACAATGCCCAGCCACAACTTAGAAGTATAGCCAGTCGCCTACCCGCTGGTGACTTTGTTTTTGTCGAGCGCCAACGTGGTACAACTGCTCATTGAAGTTTCATGCATAGCAGCAGCTTGTAGCGAGCTGGCGCGGCCGAGGGCCTGACAAGCTAAAACCTGATCCGTACACGCCTTTTTTTAAATTAATTTCCGTATGCCACGTGAGATCACGTGAGCAACTCAGTTGATCAAAGCCAAGCATTCGGTCAGAATTTCTGCATGTGTTGCGGGCTTCCCTGTTTGAGTGAAGCAACAGATGAGCTGGTTTTCCATGTTGACGTTTCTTGCACAGGAGGATGTGCACAAGGCCGCCCAGAGAAAGGCTGGGCGACACGAGTTGGGGTGTGTTTGGTGTCTCTGCGGCGGCTCTTGGTTCAACTTGAGCAACCAGGTTGGTGGGGAACAGGAGAAACACCTGCGAATCAGCAACCACCTCAACTTGTTGAGTGGTCAACGACCAGCTCGAGCGAGGGGGCTTGCGACTGAAGGGTATCGCAAGAGGAAGGGTGGTGCCCATCCGAGCGGTTACGCGCACCAGCCAGATCTAGCCAGGCCAACACGTTTGCGAGGTGCCACGCATCCCGCCCCACGTCTCAGTCATGGAGCCAGACTGAATTCGGATGCAGAAGTGCCACCTTAGGGGCAGGTTCCAGTTGCCAAGCGTGGCGCTTGGAGCCCCAAGTTCTTGTTGCAGACCAGCGCCAGCGCGAGACATCTTGAGACGAGAAGGTCAGCTGGACACAGAGCACCAGGCGCTTCGCGAAGGGGCTCTATAGATTTCGCCTTTCCTCAGCACGGTTTCTATCTTGGGCATCGAGGCTTCTTTACGTGCACGTGTTCCTGAAAAATGTGCACACAGACAACGCGCATGGGGCATCAAGTTTGTTGATGTTCAGCGCCAATTCACCTGTAAATCATCACATCCAGGTTGATCCACAAAACCATCGAATAGGTTCAGCAATCTGGTTTTGCTGATTCGATAAAACAAAGTGGTTGACTTTTTCTCACGCCTTGGCTTAGGCCCTGCTTTTGCTGACACGAGGCTCGCCAGAACCCGCAGGCTGTCCTTCAAACAGAAAATGTTGCTCATGTTCATGGGGGCATGTCTTAAAATAAAGGTCCCCCAACATGAGTTGCGTTCCTTTGGTTTCAAACTGTAAAGGTTGACTAACCTCGGTCCATTCCTGAGGTTGGAAGGCTGAGTGAAGACGCGGAGGTTGGCAAACTGACAATTGACGGGGCAGCACAGAAGCTTACACGTATGTGTACGTGTATGCGCAATATGTAATACATAGACACACGCGGTATATATGGCTGTGGTTCAAACAATGTACCCAAGTTGCTCTTTGGTACATTGCAGACGACGACTAAAACCTGCGTAACCCCAGCTGTTTGATTTTGAGCCACACCGAGATATAATTATATAGACACATACACATTATGAATGCAGCACTTCTGGCGAGCTCAACTTGCTATCACAAGCAATGCCGCCTTGTACCCATGACGAAGTCCCCCTACTTATGCCCTGTGTTTTTTGTTTTGTTTGTGTTTTATTATTTCAAGTTAGTGGAATATACTAGTGAGTGTGGATCAACACACAATGTGTTAATGTCCACATGTGTAGCGGATGTGTTATGCATATATATATATATGCAAATCGATACACGTGTAAGACATGACATGATATGACATGAACTGTTTCTCTCTTCGTCTATATATATATATATACATATATACACAGTGGTATTTCCATGCATATGATTGCCATTATATGTTTTGGATGTGTGTTCTGTTGAGGGCGTCCGCTGGTGTCCAAAAAATAGCCAGGCATTGCTGCCCTGGACGCTGGTGGCCAAGCATGCACGGGTGGGGCTGCGGCAGATCTTCGGCATCCGCAGCAACAGCCAGAAGATGATGGAGAGAGCCGGCGCCGGGAGTTGGGACCTTTCTCGCCACGTAAAGAAAAAAACAAACACACACACACACACACACACACACACACACGCACGCACGCACGCACGCACGCACGCACGCACGCACGCACGCACGCACGCCCGCGCACGCACGCACGCACACACACACACACACACACACACACACACACACACACACACACACACACACACACACACACACACACACACACACACACACACACACACACACACACACACACACACACACACACACACACACAAAAGCACCAAAAAAAGCAACAAAATAAAACTGAACATTCAAGATCCCCCTCAAAAAATGGGTTGCTCCAAAAGTTATGAGGTGAGTCTTTTATGGGTAGGTTGAGGGCCATGGATGGCAGAGATGGGGCTTGAAGCAAAGCCGGGATTGAATCGCGGGGAGTCAGGGATCTGGGGATAGAGTTGGTGTTGGTTCAGACTGGCAGCGGGGATATGGGTGTGGGTCAAACATCGGGTGAACTCCGAAGAGGAAACATGACTCAAATCTGCGGTCCATGTCCTGGTGGCATAGTTTTGAACATATATGTTCATACAACTAACATGGAACCCAGCAGCACACACTCATTCTAGACTAGAAGAGATTGGTTGCTGCCCTGCGGATGATACAATGAGAGCCCAGGTCTATTCGGAGGGGTCTTTCATTTTCAAGCCTTCACTTTGGGAGGACACGCGCTTTTCTTCAGGGTTGCCCATCTCCAAAAAAGGGGCAGGGTGTGTGCTTTTCTTAGGGGGACCCCACCCAACAATGGTGGTGTTCCTTTCAGTTTCCCTTTAAAACCACAAAAAAAAGGGGAAAGACACACCCAGGCTACTTTGCAGGAGAGCAACGAGTATTTTCTTGATTGTGAGTGAGAGCTGCTGGGGTCCAGAAAAGATACGACTTTGGTCCGTTTAGTCTTTCATCATGGGGTGTCTTTGGTGTTTAAGGGGTCTGTTGTTCTTTTCTTTATATGTTAAGAGCGTAAGCTAGCAGGGCAACTAGAGGCAAGCCGCCATTTTGCGTGCATTCAGCCCAGAAGGCGGGTACTGGTGCTTCCTGTTATCCCTCCCCAAGTATCCTACTACGGAAGGGGTCAAGTGGGCGTGTCTTTTCTTGTGGGTACCCTTTCTGAAGGTGGAATAAAAGAACGCCAAAAGGAAAACCCACCAAAAATGGGGGGTGGGGAGGGGGCGGGTTCCCTAAACAAGGACATTTCCTTGGCTTAGATATTGCCAGCAAACCAACAAGCCATGGTTGAATTTCCAGGGCTTCCCTTAGGCCCTTGCGATGGGCATCCGCAGTCGCAAGCCGCAAGTCGCGGCTCGAGTCGGCTGGCCTCCAGGAGGCCTCCATGAAGGATGCGCCCATCGAGGCGTGTTCGAATGCAAGTTGCCCGGCTAGAGGTGGGAACACAGAAGCTTGCCAGGGTAACACGGAGCGTTTTTGTCGTTACAACCCGCCCCCAGTGGGTTGCTTCCTTTTCTCGACTTTTTGTTGGGAAGGGTTGCCCTTGAAAGTCAAACCCACCAAAAAAGGATGCCTTCTTTTTTCAGATTGCCACTGGGCATCTGAGAATTTGAGGCGAGCCTTCTGCTTTTTATTTCTCACTTCGGTTTGCATGGGTCTTGGAATACCCACCATGCTTGAGAGGGTTACCACTTCCGGAGTTCATGGACTTCAACAACTTTTTGGGTTAAGACCATTTAAGTGGCAAAGAAAAAGGTTGGACTGTGTTTGGCGAATCTACCAGGAAGTGAGTTATAGCAATGGTGAGCTGCGGGGCAAAACACGCTCACCATTGCGGAGGTCCTTCACTTGGAGATCCCACAAATTATTGTAGATTTGTTGCAGAATTGGCACGTTGGCTTTGACCGTTTTTTAGGCAGACCCCCCTACAAATGTCCCCCCCTCGCGGCTTCCTTTGCCTCTTGGCAAAGCTCGCCTTGTGTGAGTCCCATCTTGGTCTTGTTTTAGCCTGCCATACTTGAAGGGTATCCATCTGAGGCGACTTGTAGTCATCCCGAGAAAGCAACAATTAGAATGGCGTTATGGGCTTCGTTTCAACTGATCAAAAGCCAGTAATGTGTGTGTGTACTTAGGCCGCATATTGCCTTATGAGGAGGGTGCTTTGTTAGTTGCAACGTTGGTAATACACAAACTAACGTATTTGAGGTGCTGTGTTCACGAGTGCCACTCTTCTCGAGACTGCCCCCGATGTAAAGCTGTCCTAGTTCCGTCACCGAAAGCCCGGAGTGCGAACACCATGATGTAGGTTGCTAGGGACCATATGCTTTCGAAGGTTTGTTATGATCTTAAAGGGAACCTATCACTAAAAACTAGCTGGTAAGATGTGTATTTTGGTATGAAAAGACTTAAGATGAAAGTTGGGCGAGTGTTGCTTTCCCGAAGGACAATGTCCCTGGCTTTTCAGAAGCATCAGAGTCCAGCTTCATGGCACAGCTTTGAGGGAAGCCATCCGAGCATGATTTATTTTTTGACACTTTCTTTATATTATTCATAATATTATATTATGAATTATTGACATTGACCTTTATATTCCTTGTGAGAAGCTGCTTTGAGATGTACGTCGACGCTCTTTGTTGGCCTTTCAGAACATCCTCGCCGTCCCATTCAGCTACAGCAAATCCGAAAGGAAACTGGATTTTCAAAGTCCCACCCAAAAAAGTCACACCGGACCAATGTTTCCAATAGAATTTGTCCCGGATTACTGGTTTCTATCCAAACACATGGGGCAACAACTGGCTGTGGGTCGAACAGAGGGTACCCCCAAAATGGCACCCTGGTAAATGGAAATGTCTAAACCCTGTGGTCCAATTCCTGGTGGTTTAATGTTCCCCATGGAGTTTCTCCCGGTTTGCTGGTTTCTACCCAAACACCTGGGGCAACAATCCCCTGGTGGTTTTATTTTAACCCATACCCAACTGGGGCAGACGGGAGATGGGAGTTTCGGGTGCTGGATGGGCAGGCGGAGTTCCCATCGCTGCCCTGCTGCGCCTTCGCGTTGATGGGCCTCTGCGCCGCCTCGCAGACCTTCCTGGCGCGAACCGAACCGAAGATTTTGTTTCTCGGTCGAGTCGGCTTTTTTACCCTCCCAAAAAACAAGCGGATCAACGGGCTGCCCTTTGGAAAGGCCAAAAGTTGCAATCCGAGCCACCAAAACAGATTTTAAGTGTTTCCCAAGAAACACATAAAAAAGTACACGCCCTCATTTTCAGCTTTGGCCTGATTCGATGGAGTCGACGTATGTTTTGTCCAGCGAAACGGTGAAACTGTACGGAGGGGCCTTTTTGGGGTCCCGGGCTCCTTTCTAGCCCACCACGGCTGAAAGAAGCGGCAGCTTCTCCCACAGCTGTTCCCTGATCTCATTCTGTGGGGAACCACCTAGGAACCACCTAGTAAACACGTGGTAGCCACCTGATAGCCACCTAGTCACCACCTAGGGCGATTCCCGTTTGAAATCAACCCGTTTTCAAACCGGTTTGCCACTAGCAACCCAAAACTTGGGGGGGGGTTCGGAACCAGCGATTCGTGCGGTTCCTCAGGCTTAGTGGTTGGGTTTCCATTTGACCCACAAGTTCAACTTGAAGGTCTGAAAACGACCAAGGTGCCCCCAAACAAGACCCCCGTTTGGGTGTAGTCTTTTCTTCTTCTCGTATTTCGCCCTCTTGGGTGGTTTTAAAGGGGAACCAGCAGGAACACCGTCATTTGGGGGGGTCCCCTTTAAAAAAGATGGTATGCTGACCCCCTGTTTAACCCCCCCCCCCTTCGCCAGGGTTGGCATCATGGACCATGGTTGACATGTTGGGAGGGGCCCTTTTTTTTTCATAAGGCTATCCCCCAGGTGATTTGTAGTTCTCACGACCAAAGCGGGATGGCCCAGTCAGGACCTATTTGGATGTGGCTCAAAATCAAGCAGGGGCAAACCGGAGGTTTTGGTCCATGTTTCCACTTACCAGGGCAGCCCATTTTGGAATTCCGTTTTATTTTTTTGAGCCACAGCCATTTGGGGGGGGGGGGAACGGGGGGTAAACGGGGGAAAAGAAGGTGCAAAGCGGCAGGACCTGGCGGGCCAGGGCCTGGAGGATCTGCTGGGCGCGGACTTGCGCCGAGTTCCGCTGCATGGGCTGCTGCCCAACGCCATGAACAAGAAGCTGAACCTCGAGGCCAGCCGCGCACGGGACGGGACGTCTCTTTTTTGTGTAAAAGTCTCTCGGTGGCCAAGAAGGGGTGTGTGGGTGTGTCCGGTTTTTAGGTTCTAGGTCCCCCAGTAGGGCCCTTTTGCCCCTTTTTGGGGAGGGTTCCCCTACTAGAATAGACTACAGAAACAAGGGGTGCCCTTATTCTAAGCTCTCTACTGGAGGACCTAGTGTTAGTTGCAAAGGCCTTTGGCTTCCCTTGAAAACCACCAAAAGCATGGGCACCGACTTGTTGGGCGGAGCCTTGCTTTGCGGCCACACCCATTTGTGGTTCTGTGGTGAAATGCAGGAGAGTCCTGCTTGCTGTTCTAGACTAACTTGTGTGGTGCACCAAGCCAAGGGATTCATTGACCCTCGGAACACCTGGACTACAGGTTCGAAGGTGTGAGCAGGGATCGACCGTTGCGGCATCAATTGGGATACTTCCCAGCAAGTCTTTTGTCGGGTGATTCAGGGGTGCATTGAACCCACGCTGTCATCTGCTGGTTTCAGCGAATTGATCGCACATCCACAGTTTCATTAGAGACGGTTTGTGTTGGGGTGTGGCTCTTGAAAATTGTCCCCTATGTGAACTGCACCTTTGGAGGCCCGCATGTAAACCATACTACTGCATGCATATACACGCTCTATATTCTGTGCTGACAGTGCTGTATTGCTTGAAGACTGTCAAGGCACAAACGAGATGAATCTTTTCTCGTGCAGCTTTGCCAATTGGATGCGAAATCTGCGGAATTGACAGTGGCTTCTCCCCAAATTGACTGGAAGAAATCGAGGAAACCATACATGCGAAATTACGCGTGACCGCAACTGCGCCTTTTTCTGAAGAGTTTGACATTGGCAGACAAGCAAAAGCGTTGCCTGGCTAGCATACAGCGTGCTTCATGGTGTCATCAAAGAAACTGGACACATTCGGGGATTGTCAAAACTTTTGACCGGTTTCGGTGAAGTGTTGCGCCGCCCTGATCGGGGTTCGGACCCCTATGAAGGGGTCACTTTGAGCTCTCTATGTCCCTTTGTGTGATTGGGGATTAGCCGGTTGAGGTTAAGTTGAGCGTGTTGCCTGCTTTGGACCTTGAAGCTACGTCTCAAAAGTTGCCAGACAGAGAAGTCGGCCTTTTCCTCGAGATTCCGGCGGTCGAAGTCTGGCCTTGGGGCCTTGGGCCCCGACCGGGATCCACAAACTTCCCCCAAACCTTGGGGCCTGTCGACCGGGATCCATGAGGTCCATTGGCTAACCCGAGTCTAGGCGTGGTTCCCGCTGGAACGCCTTCACCAGAAGACCTTTGCAGGCACGGAACTTCTGGCGGCCGGGGATGCCTTTGTGCTACTTATCTCGCTCATAGTCCGAGTTCTTGGACTTTAAACTTTATCAGACCATTTTAGTGGTTCCGAAAAAGTTTGGACTTTTTTTGGCCAATCCACAGGAAGTGAGTCAAAGATTGAGTTGAGACACATGCTATTTATCAGGGTGCAAGTGTATGTTATCCACGTCCGCCAACCATTGTTGAGGGTGTGCTTCTCCTGAGCTTCATAGTGTATTATAATGGACGTGTTTTGTTTTGGGGGAACCTCCTCTTTGGTTGGTGTTGAAGGGAAACAGAGTGGACAGACCATTTTGGGTGCCAGATACACATTATTTCACTGTTCTTGGCACGGGCTTCAGATTGTTGGTTCATTAGTTTGGAATACTTGGCGACTCAACCTGTTGATTTTGGATTTACCCCGACTTCCTGTAGAATTGCCTTTCCTCTAGTTGGTTTCCATGAAACAGAGATGCGTCGTACATGAGGGGGTCCTCTTGAGACCCGGGCACCAAAGTGCCATCAGGGCCGATTCAAGTGATCAAAAACAGTCTCCGGAAGTTGTGTTACTCTTTTTCCAACAATCATGAAAGTGAACTGGATGGCTTTTCAAGATGCTAGTCTTCCAAAACCCTTCTGTCCACTTTCAGGACTTTTTGGAAAGAGGGCCACCTTTTTGTAGAACTTCCCGTACTGTCCACTTCGCATTTAAGGAGAACCATTGAATATCGGCCATTACCTTCTCGGGGACTTTGGTTTTACCTTGTGCCTTCAATATTTTTTTTGTTGGGCTGCGCAAGGGCGAAGTCACATGGCCACCATTTCTTTGGGACGGCTTTCCCCATCAAACTTCCCCCCCCCCCTCAACGGGGCCTTTGGTCTGGCCACGAGGAAGCCAGAGGGGATCCGGGCCACCAGGGGCCGGGCATGGGTCAAAGTGGTGAAGACACCAAAAGGGGTCAGACTCACTGACCCTCAGAAATGGTTGGTTTTTTCTTGTGGTTTCCCACAAAGCGGTTCCCAATTTGGAATAGCCACAAAAGATCGATACATCGGCGCTGGCGGGATCTCTGCAGGTGCCTCCCGGCTGAAGGCGTCGAGAAGAGCCCTACACACCGAGACGCTGAGTGAGGAGAGATGGAGACCTCGGCACGGAGACTGCGAATCGTCCGGGTCCTTAGGTGTTGATAAAGGTGTTGAGTGGTTTCTTAGTTGGTTGATTGCGGGGGGGGGGGGGGTTGTTTTAGTTGTTTTGAGCTGTTGTCAGTTGGTTTAGTGGGTGGAGGTTCCATTGAACCCACAAGTTAAACTTTTAGCAGGGGATCTGAGGGCGCAGGCCAGTGCCAGTTGTTTCCGTTGGTTTTTGAGGGGCATTCGGGTTTTGCTGGGGGATGTCCGTTTGTTTGGAAGCCAACTTGGAGGGTTGTTTGAGGCTATGAATGGGGAACCTCAAGCAAGGGTAGACATAAATTGCAATCGGCTCAGACCTCCCAGTGGGTTCCCAGATGTTTTGCGGCTGGACGGGGATTCCCTGACAACTAAACAAAGGTACCGATTTTCTCCCATGGCCACAGGAGGTCTGGATTGAAATGGAACCCTCTGTTTCTCGGCCACCGCAAAAGACATGTTTGTTCTCCCCTTTTGCCTTAGATGCAAATGGGAAACACACACAGGAGTACATTCAACCACCCGGGGATTTTGTTTTACTTCGAGACTTTTGTTTTCCTTTTGGTTTCCCATCTCCAACCCCTCGAAAGGATCCCTCCAAAAGTACAGACCCAACTTCACAGTTCTTGGCAAGTTGTGTTTGTTTCTTTTTCGGTTCTGTTCATTTTCTATAGGGGACTGCCAAAAAAGGAGACGTGTTCTTTTTTTGCTGCCATACCAAGTGTTTCCCATCTCGAAAGAAGGTTCCCTCCAAGAAACAAATACAAACAGACACACACACACACACACCCAAATGCGTATGCGTGGGTTTTGGTTAAAACTTAAACCACCAGAAAACCGCATGGTTTTAGTCCTTACTTCTTTTGGCCAGGGCAACCCTTTCTGGGGTTACCCTAGTTTTGCCCCACTCCCAAATGCCATGTGCGTCACCTCGACCAAGCCGAAGGAGCAGCGGGAGCAGCTGATGGCCAACGCCGCGGAGTTCGAGGAGGATCCGAGCGACGGGGAGAGAGGGTTGGGTTTTTGTTGGAAGAACTACTTGACTCATGGAAGCCAACTAGCAGGGATACAGGGGGAACCAGGGATACGGGAGGATTCCCCCTAAATGCACCTTGACTAAGTTTATGGGAAACAGCGCGAAGGGAATCCCCCCATAGTTCCGCCCTATTCCAACGTCTCTACTGGATGACCTAGATTGGATCTTGAGGCTTGAGCTTTTTGGCAAAGCAAGAAATGGTTCACTCCCACAAACAGTTAAAACTTTTTGCAGAGGGGTCAACAGCAACCAAGCCTAAAAGACAAGCCCGATTGTTTAAAGTGAAACCCATAGATAGGAAACAGAATACCTGAAGATCTGTTTTTGGAGCCAAGTAGAAGGAGTGAGACGTAGGCCAATTGATGGGGCTGGTTGAAAGGGAAACCAAAGAAACCAAACAGATTGCCTCCAATTCTGAGGCGCCAGCTGTTTGGGGTGTTCTCCTTCGGAAACCCTTGCCTACAATATATACATAAGTACCCCACAGTGGTAACTCGAAGCATGGGAAGGGAAATCGAAGGGAACAGCGAGCGAAACGTCCGCCTGAATTAGGTGAGGTTGGTTGAACAGGGATGGTTGTTGCGCGGGTTCAGCGGGTAGCGTGCTTTTGCTCCGCTTGGTTGACAAGTTGGGCATACCTTCCGGAGGAATCAACTATACCGTTGGATAGATTCAGGTCTGCTTCCAAAAAGGCAGTCTTGAAAAGCTATCCCTCACTTCACATCAAAATTGGGCCCAGTTTAGTGATCAGGGGATAGGAACCTTGTTTAGACTGCACTCCATTTCAGCCTATTTGGTGGTATGGGGGTAGTTGACATCATGTTTTTGCGCCAAACATGTTTCCTCCAGGGGGAACGTTTCAAGATGTAGGAAACTCTCCCTGTGATACCGTGATACCCTTTGGAACCTTCCTCTCGCAAGAAAGCCTTTCAATGGCTCCAAAGCGGTGAATGGTAAACATGTGTTCTCCTATGCTAGTCTCAGGTTTTCCTTTGGTGGCTTGGTGGTTCCACCCAGCCACCAAGCCACCAGTCGCCAAGTGGAGTCTCTCTTTGGTTTTCCACCTCAGACGCTGGACGACACGGAGCTGGTGCCGGTGACGGTGTCGCTGCTTCTCAGCCCTGGGAAGGAAGGCGCGGCGGCGCGCGCTGACACCGAGCCGCCTCGGTGCATTCCTTGGCTGAATTGGCTCATTGCTTTTGCTGGGAGATCCGTTTTAGTTTTCGGGAATCGAGACATGTTTTGCAACATAGATGGCTATCAATTTGTGGCGGGGTAATTACGGAGCTTGAGGAGGGACTGTGATTGGGCGATGTACTTATGTCGTCCGTTTTGGGGACTGCAGATAGTTTGCTTTTTGGGGAGTCCTTCGATTTGTTTGAGGCGGGGTGGCCTTGCTCATGTTTTTGCCTTACGGTCATCACTAGGGTAGTTCATACGGTTTTCGGTTTTCGAGCTGTCTGCAGGTGTGTTTGGGGTTTCCTTGGTGTTGTTGGCGACCCCAAACATGAAGAAACATGTTTCCCAGGCAAGAAGACACGAATCGTGCAAAATGGGGCTCCGGTCTACTTCAGATTCAATAGATAGCTCTGCATCGATTCGCATTTCCTATCATTTTGTGTAGTGAAGGGAGGGCATGGGGCAATCTCAGCAAAATACCATGGGAAATCACCCTGTCGGCCCAGAGATGGCCTTCGTCCACAGGGGGAAATGTAGCAGACCACTCTTGTTGAGTGGAGTTCACCGGCGCGCGTTGATTTCTATCCCTGTCCGTTTTGTTTTTTTTGTTTCCCTTTTTTTCTGCTATCCTTACGATACGCGAAGCTGAGCTGGGTTTTCGAAGGTGTCACACGACTGTCCTTCTGTGAGTATCAATACAACTGTCCCCTGGGAAAATCAATAGCGACCGCCAAACGACTGGGGGTACCCACAAAACGGGTTCGGGGCCAACATGGGCCAACAAATTTAGGGCACCCATTCCAGGTGCAACACGATCGATTTTCTTTTAGCCTAGACCACCAATGGTTCCCTAAGCCATCTGGTTGTTTGTTGTTTCCGACAGGTGCATGGCATGGTCACACAGGAATAGTTGCTTGGCTTGGCAACCGGCCTCCTGAAGCTTGTTGAAGCCAACACAACTGACCGGGCGAGCTTGCGAGCTTGCATCCAGAGGTTCCTTGTGAACATATCGTGTACGTAAAAGCTGCAGGGTACTTGGCAAGTGGGTCCACTTACAAAGTACCTTGCCAGCAGTTTTGGGTCAGTCAAGCTGGACGTGGCTCAGGGCATCGGAGCATTAGCCAAAGTTCAACGACACTTTTGTGTGTTGTGTTTGGGGGTTGGGGGGTGAGACTTTGAATCATAAAACCACTGGCTCCCGAAAGCATTGCTGTCATCCCTTTCAACTATCTCGAGTGGCCAGGCAAGGTGTTCTGGAACCTTGTCCATGCCTTCATGACGGAGGTCAAGAAGGACCAAGAGCCCGACTTCCCGACAGGGCAGAGGGCATCAATGGGCATCACGTTTCTTTGGGGGCAACCTGTGTACCGTTTGTGGGGTTGTTTTGAAAGGAATCTCAAAAATGTGCTGGTTAAAACATGGACACACTGGGGCAAGTACTAGGTTGCAGGAAACGGAACCAGTGCACGATGATTCGAACTCAGAGTAGTTGTTGTATTTTCACGCTCCGCGCATCGGCCTCGCGTGCCAGGGAAAGTCCATCAGGAAAAACCGAGCCGTGCGCAATGGATGGTGGATGGCTGGATGGATGGTGGGTGGATGGATGGTGGATGGACGGACGGACGGATGATGGATGGATGGCTGGTGGATTGATGGTGGATGGACGGATGGGGAGGGATGGATGGATGGATGGATGGATGGATGGATGGATGGATGGATGGATGGATGGATGGATGGATGGATGGATGGATGGATGGACAAAGTGTCGTGTCAAGCACATACTCAACGACCACCAGCAAATCACTCCATCCTCAGTGTGCCCCTTAGCGATGTCTTTCAACGGGAGGGCTGGCACGGTCTACTTTGGCAAGGTGCGAAACGTTGACTTTTCGCACTTCACAAATCAGGCTTAGGCTGGGTTGGGATCCCCAGCACCAGCCCAAGGGCCATCCAGCCTCGGGCCACGCCAGCCCCCTCCTCAGTGTGAGTAGGCGAACAGCAGGAGGGGTCGGCGGATTTTGGATTTCCTCAACTTTGGACTCTCCACCAAGCAACTGAGTGAGCAATTTGTGATTCCAATCAGCAAACCACCCGGTTCCATTCGCCTCCTTTTGTAATCACACCTTTGGAATTGCCATTCTTGGGGGCTTGTTTTTTAGGACTCACGTCTGGGGCCAGAAACAAGTCTTCCTCGAGGGCCTGGTGTTTGTTTGTTTGGCTTCCTTGCAGCAACAAACATGGAAGCTTACACGTCTTTGGCAGTGCACTTCTTTCTTAGAACGGCTTCCTGCGCATGCGTGTGTGGAACATTGGGTTTAGGGCCAGTGCTCAGCGGAGCCCCTTTTAAGGGAAACAGTACTCATGGGAACGAATCACATTGGTAAGTATCCCAGAAAAGCTTATTTTCCAAAACCATGCTCCTGTGCACGGAGCCATGCTTGTGGGTGGAAGGGTACCTCCCTTATGGACATAAAGTGTCAATCGGGTGATCCAGAAATAGGTTTCATGCTCTTGTTGTGTTTGTGTTGTTTCGGGTCTTGCTTTGTTTTTGTTTTATTTGCTTTGGAGTTCAACATTAGCCGTCTGGAGTTTGCAAAATCTTCAGCTCAAGGTAGCACCTGTGTACTCTGAAAAATCCTTAGCCATGGCCCGCCTGCTATTCATCGCGGCGGTTTTGTCCACCAGCTACGCTGTGCGGAACAGAGACAAGGACCCCCCGCCCATTTGTCCGGCAAAAAAACGGAGCGTTCTCACGGTTGGGCTGTATGCTTCAATGTCGGTACCCGATCAATCAAAGGGTACCAAACACAACAAAGTTTTCCCAAAGTTATTCTCTACCCCAAGCAATACGCAACAAATACTCAACCAATGCAAACCAAGACGGAGCCAGTACTAAACTTGGGAAAGGCCAATCTGACCCCAAATTGTTTTACCGGCTGCTCTACTGCGTCTTCGATAAAAAAATGTTTGGGTTGTCCCCTTTAGTCTGAATACTGTATAACAAACAAGTCCCTCAAATGATTCGTGTGCTTTTCTTTTGTTTTCATTTAAACCAAGCCCAAGAAGGGTCCCCTAACAAAAACACAGAAACTGGTCTTCCAATGAGGTGTATGAAGGGTATGACCTGGATGCGACTCTGGAGTCTGTGATGACTGTTTGCATTTCTCCCCCCTTCCAATTCAGCCGAGGGAAGGGTGGTCTACTCATCAGAAAGACTCAGGGGCGCGCAAAGTACCTTGCGATGTACTTGGCACCCGTTGCTGACCGTATGGTTGGATCCCTGGGACTGGGCAAGTGGTTTTACTTCGCCGTTTTCAGCTTGCAACACAAACACGGCGCAGGATCTCTAATAGATGGCACACCCATCTTGGATCTATTGGTCAGGCCTTTGGACCCGGACGCACCCTTCTCAAGTGACGCGACTGGATCATCTTTGAGACCTGTGGTGATGTTCTAAAAAAAGAAGAAGAAACAAGTGCCAACTCAGTAGTAAGATGATTCCCAATTCAACCCAATAGGTCAATCGAACTGACGCCAGGTTTGCGCACCAAGTTGATGGGCATACCTTGACGCCGCATGCCCGGTTTTGATCATTCAAGTAATTATGGTTTCAACAACGTCGTTCTTGAAGCGTCCACGACCACAGCAAGTAACAGGTGTGCCCTTGCCCTTTGAACAAAGATTGGTGAACGGTTTGCACCTTGTGCAAAGAGCACCCGGACCTCCAGTAGTGCTCTTGTCACGTTTGTTTTTGAGAGTTCCCTTTCTATTCTCAAAAGAATGGCGCCCGTTTTTCTCACCCGCAAGGTTGGGGACCCCTTGCAAGCTGACTTACACCTTGAAATTTGTCATTGCTTGAAACTTGGCCAGTTTAGGGGGTTCTACCAGAGGTATGGGGAGGAACATGAAGCGACTCGTTCCTTTGTAACAGTTTGTTTTTTCCCATCCCGGTAGAAGCATGCGTAATTGAGTGCTTGGCTACTCCTTGATTGATTTGTACCTCGTCAGGTTGCTGAACAATGTTGAACGGCTTTGGTTGTTTTTTTCTTGCGTATGGTCGGTCTGCAGCATGCCAGACGTTACAAGATGCGGCACAACTATTATTGGACACTTGTTGGTTTGAACTCGTTTCGGCGTGCTTTTGTTTCTTTCCTTTTTCTCTTCTCCAAATTTCAAGTAACCTGGTGGTTTTGATTCGTTTGGGGATTTCAGGTAACCTGGCTTTTGTGGGTTAACCCTCCACCACCAAGGGCACCAAACCACCCTGAGCTGAATATTTGAGAGTTTGACTTCCTGAAAGGAGGCCATTATTGATCCGGAGTACGACGAGTTCGAGTCATTGGAGAGCTACGAGCATGACGTGATTCACGAACTGGAGGAGGTGGACGGCATCTCAGCGAACAGCTTCCGGTGTTCGGTCTTAGAACTTGCAAATATGTTTTATGATTGTTCTTTCTTGAGGGTACACCCCTTTGGATAATAGTTAGCCACAAGGACAGCCACAATTTTGGAGGGTCCCCTTTAGAAACTCAACCAGAATATGTTTCACATGTTGCTGGTACTACAGGTGAAGCAAGCAATCAAACAGCTTTATAGATTACAAGGCCAAACCGCAACCTAGCCTGTAGAGGTTAGGTTCCAGCTGAGTAGCATTCTACTGGTAACACAAGTCAGCATTCCTTGCATTCAGGGATTTCATTAGACCTCACTGCGCATGTTAAGCTTCAAATACGGACCAATGCCCACATGTTCTGTTTACTAGCAATGAAAGAAACATATAAAGTATATTTGATTATAAATCAGCAAATTAGTACATATGGCAAGAAGTTGTTTATAACGATATCGAAAACATGAACGTACAATCTAAGCTGCTAATCGCTTTAATCATATTTAACTACAATCAGCAACAACACAACTGTACTTATATGTGCCATACGTTGTAGGTCAACGGAAATAAACTAAACAAAACACAATATATTTTGTGAACTACCATGTTCACCATTCAACATTTGTTTTGGCATTCATGTTTTCGTTTAAACAGTATATATATATATATATATTGAAGCTAACAGAACACTGGCGCAAAACATGATTTCTGGTAATTCCTCAACCAAAAGCGGAGATGGGAGTGAGGTAGAGCAGCCCTTGCAGCATGGTGAATTTATTGGGAGCAGTTCCCAGGCTCAGTTGTTTAGGTTGCGCCCACGACTTCTGCGGGAGTCCCGGAAGCCACTTCTGTACAGGAGATGCCCCAAAAATGCCGGTGAAGAAGCCTTGCGATGCAGTTTAAGGGGGCTTTGGACGTGAAGGGAATACACCGAGCAAATGCGGGCCCAAACAGATCCAATATTTCTGTTGGGAGGGGGATGGTGGGCTTGAACACCTAAATTATTGTCAGAGAATGGAGGCACGTACGGTCGTGGAAAGCTGGGTGATACCAAGCAATTTCTCTTCAGTTTTGTAAAGTAGTCAGGGGCATAGCCCCCATTATCACAATGGGCAATTCCCCGCCGTGGTATGGGGTAATTAAACGGCCCGCCTGATGAGGACCTTGACATCCTGGTTGATCGTCGCGACTCTCAATTTGCGTGCGCTCGGACATGTGCCGATGATGCTCTTTCAGCTGGTGGGACCATCTTATCATACCATCACATCATGTATACGTGCATATATAGTCAAAATTGGCTATATATTGTTGTATAGTATACATGAAGTGATAGTATGACAAGATATACCCCTAGACGTATAGTTTGACTTGTATTCAGGATACGTGCACATGTAAACATATATCTGTTCAATAAGTTACATATTTCGCCCACAAGAGGTGAAGGGTAGGGTCCAAGTTCGGAGGCCGTCGCTTGCCGAGGTGAGCTACCGGAGCATGACGATCGCGTAGTGCCTCTGCGCGCGGAGGTGCAAGTGGCACACACGTTGGATGACATCCCCTGGAAGTCCAAGTTGACCTTCACCATGTGCCTTGAACTGAAGTCACGCCGTTGAAGTCACAAAGGCGGGGGAGGGTCCCCTTAACCTATCACGGGGGTGACTTTGGCGAAGGGGGCCAGTTGCACACGTCTCGCGGAATCGGGGCACGGCGGTGTCCCTTTGAGCTTGGACACCCCAGGTGGGTATGTTGGCCCTAGAAGTCAGGAGCGCTGTGTAGGTTTGGGCCTAAAGATGTGACCAAATTTGGGACCAACATTCAGGCCATGACCTCAATACTATTGGATAAGAATCGCATCGATCTGGGCAAACTAGCGAACACTTCGAGGTAAAACTTGGGCAAACCCCGTGAACAACTGGGCGAGCATTTTTTCTCAACTTGGGAATGGCAGTGTGCGTAGATGAAATCCCCAGCTGGTTTTTGTCCCCATCCCGTTCTTGTCCCCATCCCGTGTTTGGCCAATACACTCAGGAGAGGAGGTGTGATGTGTTTTCCCCCAGCCCTTGCTTCCCTGGCCAATCCAGTGAGTTTGTTTTTTGAATTCGCGGTTGGGTGTTGCCCCGGATCTCAGGAAGTCGCGTGAATCCACAGCGACGCAAAGTCCAAGGTCGGAAGTGCCCGCCGGTCTGAGCTTTGTGGCGAATCTGAGGGCCACCAATGAGAGTGCTTCCACTATGGTGGCGAGCGCAATGCGTAAGGCGGGGGAAGTCGCTGAACCTCCGAACAGCGTCCCTTGTCCCTGGGCCACTTGGGATGTGTTGGGTGGGAAGACAGGCATTGGAGGCCCTGGCCCGCCTCCATGGTGATGGACTAAAGTGTAGAGGTAGGTGTGCACCTGACTAAACGTGCCTATACGCTCCACTTGGCCATTACATTTTGGCTCAAGTGGAACGACGTGATTCCTATATATTCCATTAAGGTGTTCAAACGTTTTTCCTTTTCCCCTGCTTTCCCCTTGCAACCATGTACTACCCCATGTACGCTGGGAAGAACGCCGCCAGCTAAGGCGAGGGCCTCCATGCAACACCAAGGCCAAGGTGAGACTTGGCCATCTTGGCCTTGGATGCGGAACAGGGCCTGGATGAGCACTTCATGTCCAGCGCGCATTAGGACCAGATCCCCTGACTCCCGCCAAGCGCAAGTTGGAGGACGAGCAATCACATAACACCTCTGGACCACACGGAAGGCCGGACGGCAGGCTGACAAAATGCCATTGTCGCGTTGGGCTGTGTCCCTCCCATCAGATACAAAACACAGTTGCAGGGACCGGGGCGCCGCATGGCGGGCGACTGTGTTCTGATAGGACCAATCGATCCTGCCCCCCCCCAGGAGCAGATGACTCCTCCCAAGGACGTGGCAAACGCTGACCGCAAAGTAAAGATCTTGCCAGAGTGGCGTTGGCCTGCATCCAGGACAGGTGGAGGGTGACTAAGGTTGGAAAACCCCGCCCTCATCCTGCGCATTCCTGCACCTGGTCGTTGTGGACAACTTCTGCCCGTTCTGAACTGGATGCTACGGCTGTGCTTTCTCCTTCTGGACCATCTCATGTCAAGCGAGATTTCAAGATGGCCGACCGGGCTAACTCATCCGGCCCCGCAGTTGCCAGCGGCAAGCTGTATAACCTCCCCATTTCTGCGCGCTGACGGGGCGCTGCTCACTGGGAGGCGCAACGTGCTTTCCAGCCGGCGCAAGATCTGCGAATTTTGCGCGAAAGTCGATGGACCTCCCCGCCAGTGTCCGGACACAGGTGGCAAAAGGGCCCCCCGTCGTGTGCTGCCGCACAGCTTGTGAGCCGGAGCTGCGGAAGCGTGTTTCACGTGCTACTTCGGAACTGAAAGGTTGCGACTTTCGAGCTGGGGCTGCGGAAGTTTTCTTTGTGTACGACTCTATTGAAAAGTTTCGACTTTCGAGCCGGGGCTGCGGATTGTTACTCTGTGTGCAACCTTCGTATTGAAAAGGTCGACTTTCGAGCCGGGGCTGCGGAAGTTTCCTTCGCATACTACGTTCGTTTTGGACTTTTGAGCCTGGCTGCGGAAGTTTACTTTGTGGACTACTATTTCGTATTGGAAAGTTACAACTTTCGAGCTGCGGATGCGGAAGTCTTCGTGCACTACTTGTTTGATGAATGTTGTCGAAACAGCCCTGCGAAAGTTCTGCCAAAGATACTTGTTTCGCGAAGAAGGCGGTTTTCGGAACAAGGGGTTTCAGACGAGCACCTTTAAAGCCTGCGGAGGTGACATCAAGGAAAAACACGTTTATTTCCAACATCCTTTCTCGCGGGGGCAGATATGGCTGGGAGTGAGTTGGCTACCTTGTCCCGTGTTCGTGCTCGTTTGCCGCGTATAAGCCCTTTGGTGAGACGGGTGCCGAGATGCTCACAGGTCATCAACGTGACCCTTCCTCCACACTTCTCCTCGCTCTGCAAGATCGCCA